AGAGAAAAACAGCAAAAGCTTCAGAGGATGTAAAATTACCTACAAAGAACCTAAATCTGAAGTAAAACCAGGAAGCAAGAGGTTCCTTCAAATCCAAATAGGAGAAAAGATGGCCAACTAAATTCTGCAGAAGTGCTGCGTTATAGAGAAAAACTCCTTCCCTTGTCCAGGCACACTAAAGAGCTTTAAACTAGCTCTTTCCAGCAAGATGTCAGAGTCACTGTCACTGGCTTTCTAAATGTTTCCATTCAATGCTCAGGAGGGAGAACAACATATGAGGAACCATTAGAAAAGGGAGAGAGGAAAAAGAGGAATTGCTGCCATGTGGCCATGCAAATCCTGGTGCCTCTGTCCTGTGCCCCACTGACTCAGGCCAGAAGGCAGCAGATTTACCCAAGAACAGAGCACAGCTGCCTGCAGTCTGAGGGGTTGCTGGACACGAGCCTCACCCACCCCAGTTCCCCCTCCTCTCACTTCACTGGCCTGAAATGGGATCTGCACCTGCAAAACTGTGAAGCTTTGTGACCTGTTTGCTCTCCTGCAGGCACAGATGTGTTTTGCCTGCAGCATATCCCCAGCACTAACCCCACCAGTACCCAGGGCCTGGGTGTGCTTGGGGAGGTACCTGCGAGGAGTGGCGAGTAGCATCTGATGAAGCCAAGCTTGTCTGGCTGGTCACATTCTTTTCTAGAGAATCTATTTTCTCAAAAGTCCTCTTCTGCCTCACTGTGTCCTGTGGAGCACACACATCGCTGGGAAAGCCTTCTCTGCTCTCCAGGCCCTGTCGATACAGAGACCTGTTGCTGGCTGAGACATCATCCCTGGAGCTCCGACTGATGCATTTTTTCAAGTGGTCAGACTGAAACCTGACCTTGCTGCTCTCTGCTGGGATGCCACACTCCAGGCTCTCAGCATCCAGGCTGGCTTTGCTCCCCCTGCAAGCTGCTGACCTGCCCACCACAGCACGCATCTCAGCAATCAGCTTATCATTCAGAGCTGTGAGCTCACTGCTGCTGCCCACAGAGCCAGGTCTTCCTTGACCTGTTCCTTGCCTCCTTCCTTTCCTTTTTCTCAAGCTTGGAGAAGGGCCAGTTGAATAACCAGAATCCTGATGGCTTATACTGGTTGGGTACTCCTGAGTCTGCAGGCTGTTCTGCCGACTGTGGTGGAGTTCCATGTTCTTGAGGACGTTGGCTTCCAAGATCCTCCAAGACTGCTTGAAGCTGTCCTTTGAAGCAAGCTGACCAGGCAGTTTAGTGGAGGCATCAGCTGTTGAGGCAGAAGAGTGGGAGAGTTTGGCAGATTGGTCAACATTGACCATATGTTTTATGTACTCCCTGCCAGCTGGGCTGTATTCAGTGGAAGAGGGATTTCTTGCATGCTTCTTTGCAGCTTGCTGCTGTTGCATACTGGGATGCTGCAATAATTTGGTTGGTTGCAGCTGCTTTTTTAAACTATTGCTTGGTGACCTTGGTGGAGACATCCCACTGACACCAATGCTTTCAGTGTCCATATCTGCTGGCGGCTCGTCGTAGATTGGCGACTCCAAAGATGGCTCATCGTATATAGGTGCAGGGGAGGCACACTTGGGGGATGCAGGCTGGGGGGTTCCTGTCCGGCTCCTCGGCGGCGTTTGAGAAGTTGCACCATTCATCAGCACCAGGCAAAACCCACCATTCTCTGTCTTTTTGATCTGCATAGACTGCTTTGTTTCTCCTGCAGGCGTCTGCTTTGTGACTCCAGGGCTCTGGCACATGGGTTGAGGCTGAGCATATATGGCTGCTTTTGGAAGAGATTTTGGGCTGTTGGGCTCTGGAGCACTCTGCAGCTGAAGAGAACTGTTTGAAAAGCTCTGCATCTGCCTCAAACTGTTCACTTTGACCAGCATGGCTGCTTTCGTGCCTGGCAGAGGCTGCCAGTGGG